ACTTGATGGGGTTAAGCCCAGCGGGCCTAGGGCCCAAGAAGGAAAGAAAATAAGGGACGAAGGTTGAGCCCACGGAGATTGGCCCCAACAGAGGAAAATAAGCACCATAGGCTGGGAAAAAACATAGAGAAGGACACGACCGAGTCTGAAGAGTCGGCGCGAGCAGGCGGTCGGCATGGATAGAGGTCGGCTCGGTAGCTAGCCGTTGTCATTAAGAGATTATTGCCTTCAATGCCCAGTCAACCAGGCCGTTGGGAAGGCCTAGTAACGGCCGCCCAATGGCCATTGGCCTTAATAGTCCCTCTTTATGTCCATTCAATGTACGTATTTAAATTAGTAAGGGGTGCCACCTATAAATAGGTCCCTTGAACAATGTAAACACAAGTTCCTCCTCGGGCGGAGAGTCGCCAAAAAAACACAATAAAGTACTCAAGCTCTAATAGCAATTTCTTTTTTATAGCCTTATTTAAACGGTGAATACACCAACCACGGTTGTGTTGGACCTCCCTGGGCCCAAAAACTCTAAAACCAACATTGGCGACGTCTGTGGGGACGTAAAAAAAAAAAGGTTGCGTTTACCTCTTTGTCTGAGCGAATTCGGAAAACGTCCGGAGAATGGAGTCGTTGAGAACGAGAGATCGAAACTATGGCTGGAGAACAAAGTCATGCCACTGGAAGTAACAATGCCCGGAACGCGGGAGTGGATCTGCGAGAACGACTAAGTCAGCACAACTCGCGAGGACAGGAAGACGACTCGGTGCCTCAACCGTCGATACCACCCATGATGGCACTCACACTAGCACAAATCGATGCCATCGCTCAAGCGGTAGCTGCGCGAACACGAGGGAGAAGAACCTCGTCGAGCCCTCAGTCGCTCCGGGAGCCGCCGCATAATCGGGGCCACCCTTCAAGACATGAGGGAAGAGGCCAGGAAAACCAGGGGCAGGACAGTCAGTCGGCTCGGTCTGTGCATTCGAGGCTGGGCCCCGGTGCTGTTCGGCGTCCCGTGAAAGAACAACTGGGGGAAAAAGCACCTAGCCGATTCTGACCCAGTCGGCACGACAGAGGAGTCGCCAAAGAAAGAGTAACCCGTTCGAGGAAGACCAGGACTCAGAGTCGACGAACCCAGAAGTTGGTAATAGAGGACGGACCGCAGGCCGAGTCCAAAGAGGGTGAAAGTACCGAGTCCACCGGGAATCAAACCGGTAACCCCGACGAGATGGCCTACTTGGCGCAAGAAATACGCAATCTGAAGGATTAGATAGAGGGAAGAGTCAAGTCACCCGGTCGAGTTTTGCTCACCGCTTTGCCCTTCTCGGCTGAAATCATGTCATACAAGATACCCGGGGATTTCAAGTTCCTAGAGTAGGCTACCTTTGACGGAACGGGTGACCCACGGGAACACCTTTTGAGCTACCAGGCAAAGATGCATGTTTTGGGGGTAAAAGATCCGATCATGTGCCGCGCCTTCCTGCCGACCCTAAAAGGTCCGACCAAAGATGGCTCGTCGCCCTCCCCCTAGGATCCATTCGCAGCTTCGAGGACTTGGCCGACCGGTTCATGAGTCAGTACGCTGCCAACATCAAGCCTCAAAAGGTGCTCACACATCTCGGAAACATCCATCAGGATGAAGGAGAGTCGCTCAAAGCCAACCTAACTCGGTGGCAGAAGGAGGTCCAGGCCATAGAGGGAGTCGAAGATCAAACCGCACTCACATTTTTTATCGAGTCGCTCCGATCCGGGCAGTTGTACCGAGACCTTCGAGTCAACCGCCCGGCCACGTATGCCGACGTCATTCACATGGCCAATAAGCAAGCCAATATGGAGCAAGCAGTCAAATACAAGCGGGAGCGAGAAGTCGGCGGAGCCTCCGGGTCTAAGCGGGTGAAAGGTGAGGCAAGAGAGAGATACCAAGGAGATCGACCGAGCCCGGAAGGAAGGCGCTCCTTCGACCGGACCAGTGCCCATTCCTACCGACCACCCATCCTCGTCCAGTGCACGAAATCAAAGAGGATGCACCGTCGTCGCCGACCTCGTCAGGTGGTCGTCCGGAAGGCGCGGATCCAGGTAAGTCGGCCAAGTACTGCCGCTACCACAAGTCATACACCCACAGTACAGAGGAGTGCTTCTACCTAAAGAAGATTATGGAAGAGATCATACAGCAGGGCACCCCACCTCCCAACCAGTGGCGAAGAAAGGCAGCATCTCAACCAAAGGCAAATAACGACCCCTCGGGGTCGGCAGATCGAGATCGTGGCTAGCGACCAGTCTCGACGGAAGAGGAAGCATAGTGGAAGCAAAAGCCGGTGATCAATATGATAGTCGGTGGACCTGAGGGCGGTGACTCGTCGAATACTCGAAAGACGTGGGCCCGGCTGTTATACGTTGGGACAGTATATGGTTGAGAGAATGACGCCAAGAAGATATGTTGCAAACCGATCACTTTCACTGACAAGGACCTACCGTTGGGACAGTATTCAGACTGGCTTGCCAATGTGGTGTTAGTACCAAAGCCGCCCTCTTGGAGAATGTGCGTCGACTACACTGATCTTAACAAGGCTTGCCCAAAGGACCCTTTTCCTTTGCCGAGAATCGACCAGTTGGTGGATGAAACAGCAGGGTCGGCCCTGTTAAGCTTCATTGATGCCTTCAGAAGGTATCACCAGATTTACATGCATAAGGCATATGAAGAAAAAAACGGCATTTCGATCGGACAAGTTAGAGACAATGACAGGAGAGCTCATTGATCGGACATGGAACGTGGTTCATCTGAAAAAGTACTATCAGTAATTAGGTTCGCATATAATGTACCTTCTTTTTAGAATTTCAATAAAAGTTTTTACGGGCTTGTTCTAATGTCCTGACCCCGATAGTCGCCTCGACTGAGGGACTCAGCGAGTGCAGTGAGAAGCTAGGGTTCCGACCCTTAGACATTTCTCAGAGAAAGAAGAGAAAATAATCAAGGGTTCCGACCCTTAGTCGTTTCTTAAAAAAGAGTCACAGCCGACAGTCACCTCGACTGAGGGACTCGGCGAGTGCAGTGAGAAGCTAGGTGTAACATCCCGTGTTACGACCTTCAAATCCGAATTAATTATTAAATTAATCCCGCTAATTAAAATAATTAAGAGGGATTTAATCCAATTATAATTCTCCTAATTAATCCAGGCGGTCCATAATGAATCGTGAACCTTTACCTGAACTAGGAACCTTAAGCCCATAGGGAATAAGGAAAGCGAGCCTTATTATTCAGACTTTGAATAGATTTTCCTTAAACATATAAATAGGGGATTAAGAAGCAAATAGAACCTTCCCTCTCCTCTCCCTCACTCGAAAATACTCTCAGGTAATCCAGCCAAGGAAATCCCCCACCAACAAGCCTAGGAAGATCAATTGGGAGAAGAATCTTAGAGAAGAACCTTAGTAGCCAGGGATATTGATTAGGGCTAAGAGGTAACACATGTCTTATAAAACCTATTTTCCTTGCTACATCTTATTTATTGGCTCCTTTGATAATGGTATGGATGATTCTGTGATTGAGTCTTGATAGAGCCTTGCTTAGGATTTATATTGTGTTTATTTGATGATCTTGGTGATCTTGATAATTGTGATTGATTATATGTGTGATCTCGTATTTTAATTATGTCTAGAGCTTGTCCCTAGGGTTTATATTGTGAATCTCGTTGTTGTGATGTTCTTGGCATATTTGGGTGGGTTTATGTATGATCGGGTGTTGAGTCTAGCCTAGGGTTTGTCTTTAGGGTTTTGTGTATAGATTTCTTGATGTTCTTGTGGTTCCAGATGCTCCCGAACCGTTATATGATTAATGTTGAGTCTTGGCATGTTTCGGAATCCTGTTAGAACATATTTGGTATGATTCTTGATTTGATTCCGTTAATTGAATCTGTGGTGTAGTCGTTATGTGTTTGAATGTGTCTGGACATGATTTTGGATTCCACGAGAGATCCCGGGACCGAAAAGTTGCCTGAGTATCAGTGGGGGGTAGGTGGGGGCACGGGTACCCGCCACCTACCCGCTGTCCGAGAACACTGTTCCAGCGCCTGCCCACCGGGCACCCGTTGGAATGGAAGGCCGCCGCCGGCGGGTGGTCCTCCTCCCGCCGCCCACCCGCTGAAAAATTGTTGTGGGTCGTGATGTTTTTTCCCGTTTGATGTTTTCCCGTTTTTCGTGTACGAGTCTCGTTTGATGTTTTGAATACCGTTCTAGGAATTTATGTGTAGTACGTGTCGTTGTTGTTATGTCTTGATTTCTATTAATTGATTATGTGCTGCTTGATTGAATGATGATGAGTATCGTAGTCATTGCGCAATGCCCGGTGTGACAGATGATAATGATGTTGAGGTTGTGATTGGTGAAAATGAATTGTTGACGGTTGGTACAACGTGTGCCCGGTCATTGTACTAAAGGTACAAGCCTAGCGGTTACTATGCTAAAGGCACAAACCCACCTTCAACTAGCTTGCCGTTGAGTATGGGTCAGGTTATAAGTGCTGCGGTGTCATGTTGGGGCTATATGCACTGACCCCTTGGTATTGGTACTAGAGGTACGGATCATGCGAATGGCACTGTGGCGCTATCTTGATATGTTGGTGATTGATAGGTGGTTTGTCGGTGGGGGCATGTAGTTGCCCGGAAGAATAAGGAAGGCGATATAAGGGTGACCTGGAGGTATAGGTTGGAACTGATGTGGCATCTTAGTTGGTTATAAGTTATAAAATGTTGTTAACTAGCTAAAATGGGGTTTGATTACATCTTTTTTTTTTTTTTCAAATACAATAGGTTATTTGAAACTTTTAATTTAATGGTTTTAATTGCATTTTTTAGAAAAATTGAAATGGCCTATTTTTTTCAGAAATGACCCAAAAACGTTTCATAGAAATAAGATTTTGTGCATCCAAAGGAGAAATAGAGAGGGCAACCGGGTCTTTTCACTGGAAGGTGTGCTGCGACCTCCATATACAGCGCCTGAAGGAACAGACTCGCCCAGACGCCCACGGTCTTCTCTCTCTCTATATATATATATATTTAGAATATCATATACTCCGTACGTATACTTCCCTTGCATCTCTACTTCTTTCTTCGCAGAGCTCTTATAGAAACAATCTCTGTGTTGAGTATTCATATTGTAAGGGTTTAGCAGAGTGTTTTTGTTGAGTAATGGCGGCAGAGCCGGTGAAGTCACAGCCGCTCCACAATTTCTCGCTGGCACATCTCAAATGGGGCCACAGGAGCCACCATAGCTCCTCCTCCGCCTCTAACCAACGCTTCCGCCGACGGGACTCTCCACCGTCCGCCGCTGATCTTCAGACCCAACTTAACGCCAACACCGTCCACCGTCGTCCTTCTCCTCCTTCCGGCGACGCAGAGTTAGAGTCTGGCCCCAAACTCCCTCCACCCGAGTTTCCATTCTCTCTTTGCTCCACCCAGAAGCGACACGGAGAGGAAAACGTCCCCGCTGTGGTCCCGGAGGAAGGGGAGACGAAGGCGTTGAACCTGCGGCCGAGGAAGGCGAGCGGAACCCCGTCGGCGAGGAACAGTGAAATGCGGGAAACCAATTGCGTGGTTGACAAGAACAGCGGGTGTGTTATGCCCATGTCTGAGAGGCTTAGAGGGATTGCGGAAGGCGCGATGGAGAGGAAGGAGAAGATGAAGAAGAAGAAGAGGAAGTTCTGGATCTCGCTTTCGAGGGAGGAGATTGAGGAAGACGTTTATTCTTTGACTGGGTCTAGACCCTCTCGGCGACCCAAGAAACGCCCCAAAGCCGTTCAAAAGTTAGTCGACGTACGTAATCTCATCAGATTAGATAATAACCAAAACAAATTTCTTTTCTTTTCTTTTCTTTTCTGCTCTCTACTCTATCTATATTCACGATCCTTCCTTTGCAGAATGTTTTCCCTGGATTGTATTTGGTTGGACTCACTGTTGACTCTTATAGAGTTCACGAGTCTCTGGTACATGCTCCTCTCTCTCTCTTTCTCTCTATATATATGTTTATGTTGTCTAGATTGAGATAGTTTTGGAAACCAGATATTTGGGTTTCTGAATTTCGAAAGATTGAATTGAAAAAGTTGCATATTAATATGCTTCGTTTTTGCAGAAGTAGATGTGAGGAGATAAAGAGCTTGAGATTTAGCTGCAGAGAGGGAGGTATAAAGAACTGAGTTGTGTAAAAGGAAGGGATGTTACCATACTTTTTTAGTCTTCTTTTTAGTTTTTGGACATATGATTTTGATAGGGTTGATTATGGTAGCTAGCTAGCTAGCTTAAAATATGTAAAAGACAAATATACAATCATTGACATGTTATCAGTTGAAGCTTGATTTTGTGAAATTCATTTTTGTGGCTTGGCAGGCTTCCAGACTCTCTGTTTGGAGGCAGATCAGAGCTCATATTTAGACAATATGGAGAAGCTGTTGGTCCTGGTTGTTTCCTGTTTTGGCACTTTGGACTCGTCTACCCAATATATCTTTGCCAAGTGGAACACACGGCAAAGGTTGGAAATTTATGTTATGTGTTCTATACATACATTATCTATCTATTTTCAATTGCTATAATTAATGAGGCTAATCTCTTATTCAGTTAGTTAAGTTAGGAAAATGCATTGAATTTTTGTGGTATTCTAGCTAATTGGGTTTGGTGGATTGAAGAATTTGTGAGTGAGTTGCTTTAATTGAAGAAGGATCATTGTGGCTGTTAGGCTTCCTGGCTTTTGTTCTTTTTACCTGTCATGAGAAACAATCAAACAGTGCATTTCTAGAATCCAACTTTGTTTGAGATATGGAACAAGTAAATAGTAAAAATGCACGAAATCAAGCAGCATATTAGTTGTCAGTACTAATATTGAGCTTAATCTGATCGAGATACTGATTGGAAGTTTCAGAAGTACGGAGTAGTATTTTGTTCATGTTAGATTTCGGGCATGATATTTTGTATGCGTAGTGTTCTTAATGAGGCTAACCAGTGGACTTCCTGCATCGACGTTGGGTTTTGACTGCCCCTAGAGCTTGAATGTAGCACCACTTATCATCTGCATTTTCTTGGATTCTGTTTGCCTTCTAACATGCTATGGGTCTTATAATCCTTCTACAAGACTAGAATAACTCATCACTCATGCCCCCCATCTGTTTTAAACTTTATAACGTTTTCTCTCGAGTTGTTTGTTTGGAAAATTTAACCCTTTTGATTGCTTTGAACACCTCCCTAAAGTAGTCTGTTTTTTCCCATCTCGATCTGTTGCTTTGAAGCAAGTAGATTGGGTGTGCTGCATTCCATTCCATCTCTGAATTTGTACAAGTTTATTGCTTCTTCATAATATATTGTTATTGTTATTGTTATTATTGTGCACTTGCAAGCAGAAAATACCAATCAAGAGGTCTTGTTATTCACAATTCTCCTTGAAATCATACAAGGCCTCATTGCAGCAATCAAATCTTAATATGCTGCTTACGTGAAGTTTTTGGACATTATTTTACCATTTTAACTTTCTCATCTATACTACACTTTTGTTTGGTATATTTGAATTTTGAAGGGACCTGTTCTGCTTCTTTTCTTGATAACTTTTTCCTTTTTTAATGTTTATAGCATTTTTTCCAAAAAATAATGTTCTATGTTCAATGGATATGCATTTTGCTAATAATTTTTCTATCAAATTACATAATCAATTTATTTTTCAAAAAATGGAATGAGCAAATATCGCCTTTAATTTTTTATTATAGAGACATTGTCATATTTAGTCTTATTTTTTAAATTTTGTCTCTAACTTTCTTACTTTCACTTGCTTCGGTGCTTGTCATCATCATTAATCTGTCGTTCAATTGAATAAGTTTTCAAAAGACATAAATACCTTTCTACTGAATAACAATAACAATAATGCTCTTTTCATTACCAAGTCGGTAAAAAATTAACTTTTATTTAGTTTGATTAATAAAACTAACATAATTATAATAGGTTTATTCATTATTTATTATGTGAATGAGTAATTAAATAGTTATGCAATGAAGTTATAGCATACAAATTTATGAGTTTTCTTATTGTACTAGTTTTACACATGCATTGTTGATTTAATGTCCAATATTTGTATTTAAATAAGTAATTCAAAGTATATTAATATAATATTATGTACGAGAACTTTATTATAATTAAATTAATGTTTAATTTGTATATTTTTAAAAATAATTATTTAAATATTTATTGTAATTGGTATAGTATTAGGTAGTAAATACTACATTTAGTTGAAATTACTTTAAGTTTTGTTAATTCGTTTTTGGATAGGTTTGTCATTATCTTTGTCTTCATTGTTTGTCCACTGCTTTTTTGTTGGTAGTGTCTCATGTGCAATTGAGTTACTGGTGCTAGTTTGCAAAAAAATAGATTTGGTCTAATTAGTTTTGTTACATTACGAAAATAGATTAATAGAATCCCTAAATTGATTTTCTTATATTTATAAAATTGATCCTGTCATTTTTTAAACATTGATCATCTTAGATGGATATATCAAATTAGTCCACTCATATCATGAGAAACTTATTTCACATTTGATCATGATTATATGTATATTGATAGATACCCCTAATCAAGCATCCAGCATAGAAGCGTGAAGAGTGGTCAGGCCTAACTGAAGAAAAACACTTAGCAATCCGAGAGGAAGCGCCTCTCTTGTCAGCAACAACAGCGTGAGCACCCGAGAGACCCAGCCGCCTAGTAGGTGAGTCCCCAGTCAAGGTTTCTGACTAGCTAAGATGGGCGACCAGGCTCAATAGTCGGCGTGTCCATCGAGCTCCCTAAAGGGCTCAGTCGGGTGACCAAGCTCAGTAGTTGGGGTGTCCCCGTCTGGGCGCTCCAACCAGGCAACCAAGCCAGGTAGTCGGTGTGTCCTCGACCAAATGTGCGCTCCAGACGTAGTTAATGGCGGATTCTGCGGAGATTCCTTTCCTTGTTCAGCAAGTAGTTTCCTTTTCTCAATTTTAGGCAGTTACCGCATTAATTATGGTAGATTCCTAAGCTTATTTAGTTATTTTTTCTCCCTTCTTACCTTTAGGTAGTAGCTTGGGTTCCAAGTTAGAAATTATGAAATGACCATTAAGGGCCTCTTTCTTTCAAGGATCGTTATGTTGTGCATCCATATGCACCATGCATGGTGCATTCGAATGCAAAAACGATGTCGTTTTGACATCTAACTTTAAAAAAAATAAAAAATAAAAATCAGAATTGCATAACTACACATCTATAATTTCATCACATCCATAATTTCATAACTATACATCCAGAATTACATAACTACACATCCAGAATTACATAACTGCACATCCATAATTTATAACTATAAATCCACAATTGCATTACTACACATCCATAACTTCATAACTATACATTCAGAATTGCATAACTACATATCTATAACTTCATAACTATAAATCCAATATTGCATAACTACACATCCATAATATCATAACTACACATCCAGAATTGCATAACTATACATCCAGAATTTCATAACTAAAAATTCAGAATGAATGAACTAAAACATGAATAACATAATGTTGTTGTTAGGAATCGAAATTGATTTTTTTTTTTTAAGTAGGACGCGGGTTTTAATACAAAACGACGTCGTTTTTGCATCCGTATGCACCATGCATGGTGCATACGGATGCACAGCATAATTTGCCTTCTTTCAACATAAAGGCTGTGCGTAATTTGCCTTCTTTCAACATAAAGGCTAGAAGGGTATCTTTTAAGTAAAGGCTAGAGTCCAAAGGTTATAACATAAGGTCCAACCCATTGACCATATTAAAAGGTTAAGGGATTTGGGTCAAACTAGATCCCCTAACTAGATTCAAGGCTAAATTATAAGAAGAATTGTAAGGGTAATTAGGAAATAATTAAGTAATTAATTTGGGTTTAAGGGATAATTTTTCGGGGTGTCACAGGCACATTGAATTAGAAGTTGTTAGGTTTGAAGTAATATAATTTGTACTTGTGTTGTTTTCTTTAAATAAAGATCTAAGTGATATTATAGTTCACCATCATGGCATAGTTGTATGCACCTGAATTGTAGGCACCTAGCTTTTAACCACGTGATCGTGGGTTCAATCTCATAAATGTTCATCTTAGGTCAATGATAGAGTGTGTTGCTTTTAACGACCTGGTCACATCCCCACAAATGGCAACGCGCACAATTGTTTTAGTATTGTCGATTTGTATTTGCACTCATTTCTTCCTTAAATGAGAGAGAAGAAAAAAAAAAAGAATAAAATTTGTCATGTTTGAAATAATATAATTTGTACTTGTGTTACTTCACTTAAATGAGAGATGTGGACTATTTATTCAAAGGATTTACTTTCACTTTCCTTTTTGTCAAACAATTCATTTTGAACTTGGTTGCTCTTAATTTGCAGATAGTGCTAGGTTGATATTGTCATGATTTATGTAATATAAATCGTACTTGAGTTGTTTTCTTCTATAAATGAGAAAGAGAAAAAAAAGGTTATAAAAATATCAAAACTTATTATATTTTTGTTGATAGTAAAAGTGACAGAAAATGTAACTACAACAAACTAAAAATGTAAATTAGAGTAATGTAAGGGTAAAATTAAAAGAAAATATTAAAATTATAACACAAGAAGCACAAAGTACCAGCAACATGTAATGCTAACATGTTTTAAATTTCTGTTAAGATTTAATGTGATTGGTATTTAATTAACATATTAGATTAGAAATGGAAAATGTGTTTCTTATGGATAAACTAATTCAATTATTTCATTTGTCTCATTTTACCTAATATGTTTACTATTCATTGGTCAACCAACTCTTTCATGTATTTTTTCTTTATTAGTTTTTATTACTTTAAATGTAGTTTCTAAGTATATAAATTTTAAAATTTGTACATGTGTTATTTCTTAAATGAAGCTATGAAAGAGTTAATACCCAAAATCGTCCTCGACTATAGTGGTTTTTCTCAATTTCGTCCTAAACGACTTTGGTGACCTAATATCGTCCCAGACTTTTGTGTTTCGCTCAATTTAGTCCTCCATTTGTTATTCCGTCAAATTGGTGTTAAATAAAGGGACAATTCAGTAACGTCAATATTGATCTCTCTTTACTTTCAACTTGTAAAGTGCGAAATTCCTCTTTCTTGTACGAATTACACCCAGAATTACTCTTGGACCTACAAATCAAATTTTATATTCACAGTTTTAGGAGTAATTCTGGGATTAATTCGTAAAAAAAAAAAAAAAAAGGATTTCGCAGTTCACATGTCTATGAGTAAATAGATGCCAATATTAAAATTACTGAATTGTCTATTTATTTAACACCAAATGGACAGAATAACAAATGAGAGACTAAATTGAGCAAAAACACAAAAGTCTTGGACTAAATTGAGCGAAACACTAAAGTCT